TGGGGCTGGAGTAGTGTGGAGGTGTTACACGCCTGTACGACAGTAGCTACGGCCTGGTACGGACTCCGTTAATCATCTGGCATGAACGAGCGTGACTTTCATTTGCATGAACTGCAAGTGTAATCACATCCTGAGATAAATGTTCGTTTCAAATCGCTACAAACCAAAATTCGCACGGGCTAGAGTGTGGCAAGTGTAGATTTGCTGTTAAGGCCCGCCAACCAATGCACCTACGCCCATTTTTAGTCGTCTTAACCCTGTTATAGCATCCACGCACGAGAGCAGAAAGTTCGGTAGGTGCTGTGCAATTCATCTCTGCTGGGTCTGTAGTGACCCAAGTCCGCGTGCAACGCTCAACTTTTCGCCTCTCCCGACCGATAGAACGTGCGCACTAGTATTTGCCTACTCCAATCCGGTCTGGCCAATCAGCCTCAAGGCTGGCTCATACAGGACCTCACTGTGGCGACTGCCACGCTTTCAAACTTCGGACGCGGCCCTCTCGCGGGTGGCGGTGCATTCGTCCGACTGTCAACTTCCTACAACCTATTATAGTCTACAGAATGTACTATCCCTCCTAACTGGTGCCTCATTTCTTCTTCTCTTCTCCCCACGGAACCGAGCCCAAAGATCACAGTGGCACGGATTTTTCCATTAATTGAACCCCCTGTGATAGGCCGCCTCGTGCGCACGGACTATCATGGTCATAAAAATGTGTACTAAAGACAACCTTTCGTGTGGGCTTGTTTGCTTTGTAAGAGATGTTCACTTGCTCTGACTGCCAGGTTCTGGTACAGGAAAGTTAAAAAGGACCTGAGGCCAAAAAATATGATTGTCTCGTTTCACAGGAAACTTAAACCACTTATGTCTGCAAGAACAGAGTTGACGAACTGGATGGGATGCCTGACTCGATGGTCAGAAATTTGACTCTTTGAAACGATCACTTTGTCTCCCGGTAATTTTACTGGTCTTTGGGTGAGTCAATGGACCGGGGATCGCCTTAATTACATACCCCTGGAAGGCCAAAGCCTCGGGAATTCCTTGAGCCATGGTGCACCTACGTTCTCCAACAACGACGCACTACTTTCCCGTGTCAGCGTTTTACGGGGTCCAATTCACACGCACACATGAATATCGGTCTTGTGACATATGTTCACCTTTCTGAAAGTATTCTGTTTCCTACAATACGAAGACGGAAGCCACTTATCCGTGTGCGCTATATCGACGTCTCTGTCAGTCTCAACGGGCCGTACTGCACTACGTTCGACCTTGTGGAGCGTTTAATGCGGCTTATGAGTCATTTAAATGAACGCCAGTGGCTGCCGGATGAAGTTTAGTTCAGCAATCCTTTCCGCTCGACTGAGGACCAGCTTCATTGTTATGAAGCTGTTGGGAATTTCGGCAGTAACCGTGTTCAATAAACCTTCGTATCGTTATCTTCACTAGCTTCTCCGTAAGCTTCTCTGACGACATATTTACCAGTTTGTCGGATGATTTAGGACCAAGCAGCCGGCGAAACCTTTCCCTTAGCGCTGCGTCGCCTAAGCCCCCATACTAGGCGTAACATAACGCTGCAACACTGAGCTGACGGGTCCAGACAGATGGGAAAGATCCCTCAACCCACTTTTCAGTCTAATTTCGGAAGGCTTTTTGTCTAATGTCACATAAGTATCGCAATAAAGGCAATCCAGTCTGGATGAATAACAAGCAGGGCAGATGATTTATTCCCAAAAAATGAATCTCTGCCAAAATGTAAGTAAGAACGAGATTAAAATAGTCAATAAAAATAAAGCAATCATATTCACGGGTGAAGGCAATTAAAGGAGCGTAAGAAACGCTCAGATTAAAAAAAGAGAATTGATAATCGATGTGCTGATTTAAAAAGGTACGCCACCGGAACGGGGAAAGATGGGGGGGGGGCAAGGAATGGTAAGTGATATCCTTTTCACAGCAACATGTGTATGGAACTATCGTCGGCGTCAGCGTCCTCACTACCACCAACACCACCATCGTCAACCTCGGGACGATACTTGCGACGGCAACAACACCGATACTGACTACAGCGGCCTCGGGCACGTCCACAGCAGTTTGGCCAAAAGGCCTGCAGACAGCAGTGGCAAGCAGTACTAAGTACGCCATCGGGAACAGGCTCGTCGGGCTCCTTCTGCAGCCGCACTAGATTCACAAAAACCTGTTCCAGAGTCGTTTGACTGATGTAGTAGGCATTGATATTTAATTCTGCCTTGTAGCACTCAATCAGACCAAAAATACGGCTCAAAAAGGCGGCTGTAGTGGAGGTGGCACTGAGGGAGGAGCCAGCAGAGGGATCCACTAGATGAAACTGGAGCACGCCCTAAAAAACAAAATAAATGTGTTCTGTCAAAAAAGGTCCTGGAATAATACTGAACAGCTCTCCACGAAAGTGGAAGACAGAAAGAATAAAAACGCGTTAAAAGGAACGATCATAAGCAGCCATCCAGCGACCCTCCAGCCGAGGGTCACAAACTCTTCCCGCCAAAGACGGTTCACGGCGGGCAGCTTACGAAGAAAAAGTCGGGAATTCCACACAAACACACATATAGCCGGGAACTACGAGTAGATACGCGATCGAGTCGTCTTCTTCGCAATTACTCTCTGGGACTCGCGTGTTCGCTTGTATTGGCAACACGAGAACAATTTATGTACCAACCAACGGCCAGCGTACCTAAAGCGCATTATTACGGGATAAAGGTATGAGTACCGTCGTCAGAGCAATTGGTAAACAAAATGAGCAATGAGCAGATAAAATAGGATTAGAACTAGGGTTCGAATTAAGGTCCGGGATCGGGTTAAAGCCAATTTTAAGGTTAGCGTAGAACGGGTGACGACTTAGCTGATGAGTAACGGAGCACAAACGGGCAGTGCGGGAAGGCGACCTACTGTCCCAGATCACTACCAACACCTTGCAAAAAGACCGCCAATTCGAATTGACGGGCGCGCAGATAATGGCACGGGCTAGTAATAAGACGGGGCGAGAACTGCTGGAGGCCTAGGTATCACAATCCAACTCAATCAATAGGCACGTGGATATACCGCCCGTTATTTTGCTCTCCGTTCGCGCGACCAAGAAGCACGGCCCAGTTCGCGTCCAGGGACGAAGGAAAAGACGCAAAGAGCGCACGCCAAGGCAATACGATGAGATGTGGCGCGGACTCAACCAATCGCAAGGGTTACTACCCTCTCCCACCTGCCATTGCTAC